CATAACCACTTTCTAGACAAGGACAACCTTTTCCTTGCCAAGCTTCTTAGCCTTAGCCAGCTCCTCACTTTTCAAGTTTCTCTGAACCGGCCTCAACCATTTTTCCACTTTTTATGTTCCCCTAATATTTCCCATTGGCATTTTTAGGAAGTGCCAATGTATCTTTTATTCACTTGAAACCAAAGAATGCAGTAGAGCAACTGCATAAATTCACAAGAGATACAAAATAAATGCTCAAACATCTGTTGAAAAACTACATACTGTTCCATCAAAAAGAAAATAAGACAAATCATAATTGATAGTAGAATATTTGGATGTACTCTAGAAGCATGAAAGGGGGCATACATAAATAGAAAATTAGAATATATATAGCAATGACCTGAGTAGTGCATCCCTAAGCATAAGCACACCAAAATGAACCTGAACAATCTAGAGTAACCAACACTATTGTGGTACAGATGCAAATGATTAATTTTGTAATTACACTACAGTAACATACACACAAAACAAAGTGTTCCTATAGTGAGAGAATCATAATAAAGCAAAATTTAGTCTATTGCCACTTTCTTCGGATAAAACCAATGTTGCCAAATTTTGAATTATGGACTCATCATCTTAAATATGCTAGATAGTTTAAAAAATATATACATGTAAGAATTATTGTGCGCTTGCATATGACAGCTACAGAGAATAAATATGGATAATTGGACATTACCTGAATGTTAGCTGCTGGAGAGAGAAGTGGTCCTTTGGTTGCATGTCACAGGTGGCGTAAGAGGCGAACCTTGAACCAATTGGGGAGCAGCATGGCAGCATTGCCAATCCTCTCCGGTGGCGCGTGCTCCCTCCCTGGCCTTGACCTTTGCACGCACCAGCATTGTGTCCCAGGGAGTACGCATTGGTGAGGAAATTTAGGTTGCTGCACTATCGACCCAAAATCGAGCGTTTGAAGGAGAAGACACAAATGGATAGAAGGAAAAAATTAGGAAGTGAAGAGTTCCTGATAACCAAATTAAACATACCTAAGTTACAACAGTTAACAAGCAATTTGATAATCTGTTGGGAAAGTGTATATCCATCATCAAAGGCCATGAACACTTTTGAAATCCATAGACATAGTATTTATCATCATATAATTGCCATAATCCCTTTGGTTGTAGTTTTCTCCACCATTGTCATAATCATCATGCATCCTCATCTTCATAGCTGCAGTCTATAATGTTACCCTATAAACAATAATATAGCTTTAGTTAGAAATATCAAAAAAGTTGCCACTAAAAAAAGAACTAATATGACCTCATTTTTTATTGCTTATTATTAGTTTTGAAAAGAAATAATGTTTCCCAAATTTTGAAAAGCAATAGCAGGATACAAAGCTTTCTATGGTATTTGTGTTAGCTCCCCAGTTAAATGATTGGTATCTAGTGAGTAGACTGAGAGATGTGCATCTAGAAGCTGGCTGTGATCTATGCGAGTTAGATTCACCATGTAAATCGGCCATAAGATGATTCCTAAGGTAGTGATAAACTTTGCAAGTAGCACAGCATACATTTTCACACCTGATGGAGATGATGAAATAAAGCTAGATAGCAGCAGCAGTAGTATAGAAAAAAACATTCAATAATCATCAATCATGCTCTAAGACATCCTTAAGAGACCATGAAATAAAAGCCTACACCTCTACTACTTTCATACTACTGCACACACATGAAACAAATTGAACTCACATGAATATTCAGACTTTATTATCTAAAAAATGAATATTTAGACTGCAGACCACATGAATTTTCAGAAATTATAGATACAAAATAAAAACTATGTGAATAATTTGTCAGTGATATGCAATCTGCAAGTAATAAAAGAATAACAACATAACCTAAGATTAGAATCTTTTACCCATCAGATTAGCTAATTACATATCCATATTGATACAGAAACTATTGTACGCAGAGAGAGAGGGTGGGGATGGAGAGATACACAGATATATGAAGGAGATGGATTACTCGAGTTGATTTATTAAGAACACAAGAAGCCATGGGCTCACCTTGTGGTCGTGGGAGTGGGACTACTGGACAATCAGAGGAGGAAGACGCTGTGGGCACCACACACCAGGATCGGAGATGGAGATGAGCCGAGGACAAGACACCATAGTGGATCTGTGTGTCAGGCAGCCAAGCCCCGCCATCGCCACCAAGGAGGCTGGGTCGATGGGATGCGTCGCCGGGCGCCGTGTGATGTGCCGTCAGTCGCCGGCTACGAGCAGATGCACCGACCGGTGTCGATGCTGCTGTCGGTGCTGGATGTTAGGTGCTGCCGAGGCTGACAGGTGATGGTGCCGCCACGGGGAGGAGAGGGATCGCAAGATCATAACACGCGCACAGGGGAAGGAAGGACTGCGTTGCCAGCGTGCGTCGGCCATGCCCTGGAAAAATATTAGCCTGTAAGTTTGTGCGGGGGATGGAGCGCCGGGTGTGTGATTGACGGTGCGGAGAGGGATCGCACGGGGGAAGTCACGGTGGCTGGAGGGAAGTAGCGGTCATAGGGGGTGAAGAGGCAGACCCAAAACAAATGTCACACCAAAAAATGTCCAAGCTTTGTTCTTTTTAGTTGTAGGAGAAAACATGAAAATGGTTGCAAAAGTACTGACTAATGATGGTTTGGTTCATTCCCGCCTCCCATATCTTCACCATCAACATATGAACCTAGACCTACACATAAACCAGTCATGGAATTTCTACTAGATCCGTATGAGTTCAACATTAAATTAGAACTTAGATTTGTGATCGAGAATTACCAAGCCACAGTCGATCCTCTTCTAATGCAATTGGCAGGTAACAGAGCACAGAGGGCAGAGGCAACAACAACACATAGCAGTGATAGAGCCTGGTTACCGTGTGTGGCCTGGCGGCCTATGGCTATGCACCCACGCAATCAGCTACGGCCAGGCAGCGCAAGCAGCTGCGGCCTGCGACTAGCCGGCCAGGCCTAGGAGGGCGCAGGGCACCGGGAGGCAGTGGCACCATGGTGGCCGGACTTGTGTCCGACATCACGGACTCAGGGGCTTAGGGTGGCGGCCGGCGCTCAGCGGGGTGGAGTGAGGACCAGCGCCCGATAGGAGGGCAGACCGGCGGCGACGGAGGACGGCAGCCGGCGGCTAGGGTTAGCAGCATCGAGCTCGAGTGCCTAACAAAGAGACCAGAGTTTGGAGGGAAGCAGGAGCGGCGAGCGAGAGTCAGACGGACGTCGCACTCGGCCGCTCGCAAGTTGCGTGATGGGTTGTTGGTTACTCTCTGCCTCTTTCCTCTCTCTGCTGGGCCGGAAGTCTGAAACATTTGGCCCAATACCTAAAACCAGGCCAGGAAACTACATATACTATAAAGAGTTTTTGGCCATGCCTAGGGCCACGGACCTAGTGGCCCTAGTCCCAAATCTACCCCTGGAGCCAGGGGAGACATGCACCTACGCCTAGGGAGGCCTGCGCTTGGGGAGTCCTAGGAAGGCCTACGTCTGTGCCCCCATCAACTTCTCTCGTCGGCACGAAGGGGAGGCCTGCGTCTGGGTCTACGATGGGCCGTTGACGTCTCTTTGACTAGCGCATGTTGCAAGCGTATGTTTTAAGTGTTTCAAATATTTCAAAGGTATGTTGCAAGATTTGTGTATGGATGTTGAAAAAGTAGATCGAGATGTTGCATATGTTGCAATGGCTATACACGTATGTTGCAAGCGTCTGTTCCAAATGTTTCATCTGTTTTTTCAGATGTATGTTGCAAATGTGTTTATTTGGTTGTTGCATATGTTTCACACATATGTTGCAAATGTTTTATCTCGATGTTGCATATGTTTTGCAATGAATTTTCAATTGTTTTTCAGGTGTTTTTGCAAGTGTTTCAGACGCAAGTTTTAAGTGTTTCGTCTGTCTTCAGACATATTGTAAATGTTTTATTTGAATGTTTCAAAAGTAGATCGGGTGATGTACTTATTGCATTAACGCCGGTGGTTGACGGACAGCGGCCTGCCGCTAGGCTTAGGCTCCTACCTCACACATCATGCCTTGCCCTCTCCCTCGTCTCCCTAGCTCCCCTCCCTTTCCTTCCCTTCCCTTCCCTCCATCGCGCCGCGGTAGTTTGAGCTTGGTAGGAAAACCCTACCCGATGAGCACGCAGACGCCCGCAAAGATGCTGGCCCCGAATGGGCCGATGGCGGCGCGATGACCACGTGGTGGTCCCATATCAAGATGAGATCCGTGTCGTCCACTCACTACGTGCAGGAAATAAGAAGCCGCAGATGTCGGTACGAACGTCCCGGCGCTAGTAACACCCTAGTATATATTCATCTTTTTTCTATGCTAATAGGCCAGAGAAGCTACTGGCTGATACAAAGAAGCTTTCCTTTGTGTGCACGACAATAAATAATTAAGATATTATCTCTAGGACAGTCATTTGGAGACAAATTAAATGCCAGTACGATCGTGATTACATATATCCGCTAGCTGTGTGATCTGTGGCGACGGCACGAGGGTGCCACCAGCACAAGTTGCCAAACATACGTGCAGGCTTCCCCGCGCCGCATGTACGCCGACGACGGGAGAGGCGACACACACGGTAGTCACCGCATCGACCATGGCGCCGCTGGAGCACCGTCGCACCAATCCAATCCGGCCACCACGGACCCATGCCCGTACCGACGCATCTAGATTCCAGCCACCCGTGACCCGAGTCCTCCACGTGCCTAGCGAAAGCTACTGCTTGGTATAAAAATCTAGCAACTCCTATCTACTAGCTACAGTGGTGAATAATAATAAGAACAAGTGTCCAAAATTACGTCGGTTTTACAACTCTATATATAATATAATAAGGTACTGAAAGCAGCACGTATTGGCCTTCAGTTTACCAACGGATCAGAAGCCAAGCCAACAGGAATTTCCGTGCGTCTCCAGGAGTCTTCTCGATCATCGCCAGGTATATAGCTACTAGCTAGACGCCGGGAGAGTAGTGGTAGCAATGGCGCAGCCGCAGCCAAGAAGAGGAGGAGACGAAGGGCTCCAGGCGCAGGGGCAGGGCGGCAAGGCCCCGGCCCCGGCGCAGCTGGAGCCCATCAAATACGGCGACGCGTTCCCTGTGAAGGGCGAGCTGGCGGGGCAGCCCATCGCGCCGCGCGACGCCGCGGCCATGCGCTCCGCCGAGGACAGCGTGCCGGGCGTCCAGGTCCCGCAGGAGAGCGGCGGCGGGTTCAGCGCCGCGGCCTTCATGGAGTCCGCCGCCGCGTACAACCAGGCCGTCGGCGCCGTCGGCCCGGGCCAGGCGAGTGACGCCGTTGCCAAGAACGGGGTCAACGTCACCCAGGACGCCGTGCCCGGTGGCCGCATCGTCACCGAGTTCGTGGCAGGCCAGGTATATATGCATGCCGTGTCCTGCGTGCCTCCAAGCTCGAGCTGATTTGCTGACGCCGCTTGCTTCTGCTTCTGATGTGATGCTCCGTTCTGGTTCTCGCACTGGCAGGTGGTAGGCCAGTACGCCGTCGCTGAAGCGCCGCCGCAGCAGCATGATGGGGCGGGTCACAAGGCCGCCGGAAACGAGGGTGGTGCAGGACACGGCGATGGAGGAGCGCACGTTGGGCGCGCCGGTGCCACGGCGGCGAGGCGGGACTAAGATGGCTAGGACGACGCTTGAATCTTATCATGTTCCTCAGTTCCTGTATATGTTAGTAATGTAATGTTAGTGTTAGTATAAATATCAATATATCATGTTCCTGCGTATGAGCTTCTCGCGCTACTAGGCAGGCAGCAGACCCCATGCGGCCACGCCGTAGCTGAGGTGCTTGTGTACGTTTTTTTTTTTTTTTTTTTTTTTGCCCGTTTGGCACGGCTTTCGTTGACTCCGGCTCCGCTGATAAAATCTGCGCTGATCACTGTAGCGATGAGCCGGTTTTCTCTCTTCACCTTTCCTATCTCGCTGTAGCGTGGGTACTGTAGCATGCGGGAGATGAAGCCGGAGAAGCCAGAAAAACGAGCTTCTCCGGCTTCGATAAACAGTGCGAGTGTCAGTGAGAGGGAGAGAGAGGAAAGCCGCTTATATGAACAGTATGCTACAGTGTCGTTGTCGAGGAAGCCCGAGCCGACGGAAGCCGTGCCAAACAGGACCTAGGTATTTAAGTATGTAACGCTGTGTACTAGTAGTAGAATAAGAAAGACGATGCATGTGGCACAATCAGTAGTTTCGAAAAATGAGTATTTTAGATAAAAGGTTCTTCTGAAAAAATAAGTAGCGTAAACAAAATTTACAATAGTAAAGTGAGAATTTTTCTCATCCGATTGGCTGGGATACATTTATTTTATAAATGAGAAATTCAAAACAAATGCTTGAGCAGGACGAGCTGGGGTGTCAACGCTGCTGCATCTTCAGGTACGCTTTCCTGGGCCAGGACTGATGAAGTGCCATCGCCTGCGTCTTCGGCCTGTCATGGATCAATTGAGTTGCTATATATGCCTTGTGTTGTGTTGACAGCAAAGCTGTAACTGAATACACTACCTCTAATCATTCTTAGCCCCTTGTCGTTCTCCTTGTTCCATGTCAGCTGCTTGCTTCCTTCTTGCTCTTTCTCACGCAACAATAACAAATTGGTATCAGACTTCATGGTCCTGGATCGTGATCTACCACATCCTCACTTCACCTGCTTCTAGGTAACGTTCGCAGTCATGGAGCCCAACACCAAGCTCAACCTACTAGACGAGCTCACCAATCACTACGCCGACCACGACCGAAGTGGGAGAAGCGCTTCGTCGATCTAAAGCTAGTGCGCCGATCGTGATACAGACTTCTACCAACAGTCAACCCCAAAGGATCACGTGGAGCAATGTCTATCCGATCCTGAGAACACCCGCCCTAAGCAGATCAAGGATGAGTGCGACGAGTGTGTGTCGAGGCGTTGGACGCAGCCGCTGCCAGCTTGGTCGTGTGGCGCCCGGAGATCAAAGATGCCATTTGCAACATCAAGATGGAAGTCCACAACATCGTGAAGCACTGGGACCACGCTGTCATGGACACTCTTCGTCTCATCACCCGAGTCTCATGGTTCCTCCTGTGTTTGCAATTGCACGGTCACTTGCCCCCGCTGATTAGGTCCAACGGGCTCTACTTTGACAAAACACCCACGAATAATGGGTCCGGGTCGACCTCGACCCCACTTATTGTCCTAGCCAATGTTTAATGTTACACACCCAGCGCCACTCACCGTCGTCAGCGCTTACACCCCTTCGGGTTGATTTTCCAAATTCAATTTTCTCAAATTCGACGGTGAACCCGAGACTATATGGTGCTCCCGTTGCTAAAAGTACTTTGATATGTGTGGCGTTGATGAATCCCTTTGGATTCGTGTTGCCAAAATGCACTTTGACGTCCCTGCTACCCTGTGGTTGAAGCCAGTAGAATCACAACTTCCAAAATGTAGTTGGTTATCATTTTTGTTGCCTCCATGATCATTTCGATCGTGACCAGCACGAGTTCCTCATCCGGCAATTGTTCAATCTCAAACGACTCACATATGTCTCGGAGTATGTCAGTCTGTGTCCCAGTTCACTGAATTAGTTGATCAGCTTGCAACCTATTCCTAACACATATCAACTTTACTTCATCATGGACTTCATTGATGGCTTGCACTCTTATATTAAATTGATTGTGTTGGTTCAATGACTCAAATATTTAAATGCTACATTTACACTCGCTCTGTTGCTGGAGGAGGTCAGTGGTGTTGCGCCATTGTGGCCGCAACACACCAGTGATTGGCATGCTCCATAGAATCAATCTGCTGCACCTAAGGTGCTATTGCCACTACCACTTCAATCGCAACCCGACAAGTTGTCGCCCTCTTAGCAACACTAGATTCTCCTAGTTCTCTGACTTCGGACACCAAATTGGCAGTGATCACATCATACCGTCGCGTTATGGGGTTATGTCTTGTGGAATGCCATGTGAAGAAAAGACCATTGTTGATGGTCCTTAACACACCTTTTTATACCATCAACCGTGCCTAATTTGGCCATATAAATGACATAAACCATAGTCATAGGATTTATTTTTAACCATTTCCACAAGTTGTGATGACTATGTGAGTGTAGGAACAAGATGGCTATATACATGATAAAAATACTTAATCAAATGCTCATTTTGACTGCACCATGTCGAAGAGATCGTCGAGATACACGAAATCAAGTTTTGGTTCACCCAATTCGACGTCCGGATGACAAAGTTATGCCTTCTAGAAGATTGTAAAAACGAGTCGGGCTGGATTTGGGTAGTGAGGGCGTCGGGCGACGGCCCACCTTGTCCAATGGCCACCAAACTTGGTGGGATGCCTCCACACTCACCCAGGAGCCCAAGGGAAGCCCCATCCACACCTGGGGACTTCGGGCGACGGCCCACGGCGTCAGGCGACGACCTAAGTCACCCAAATCTCCACTTCTTCATACACATGCAAGAAAGCACAGTTTGGAGCACATCCATGCATTGGTTTAGTTGGTTTATGGCGGTTTGAGGTCGGTTGCATCCAAGGGCTGAGAAGGATGATCACGCAGATAACTGACGTGGCACTAGAGTAGCCCCTACTCCACCTCAAGCTATAAATAGGACCCCTCTCCCTCATTTGTAAATGCACCATCTCATTCCATCTCACTCCAAGTGAGAGTAGTAGCTATGCTTTGTAGTTCTACTACTTAGAAGTAGAAGATAGGGAGAGAGTGAGGAGAAGCTTGGGAAGGAGCCGGGGTTGTCGGCATCCTCTCCACTTGTGCCTCGGTGGATGTAGCTCTTCTTTGAGTGAAGTCTGGCATCTTTTGTGTGGTAACTTTATTCTTTTGCATTACTTAAGTGTTGCTTTACAATATTGTTGTTTATGAGTTTCACTGCTTGGTTAGAGTACTCTGATCTTATTTCACAGCTGGGATTAGAGTACTAAGTTTATAGATTAAGCGTGGTGCTTAGGCTATATCTTACCTATGTTTATGGCTAGGCCCCGGATAGATTGTGGTAGGTGGCAGGTGGTGACAGACCTATGCATCCTCTGTATTTCACCACGTTAGGCTTAGTTATTAAATCGTAGGGCTCATTGTGCTTTGTGCCAGATTGAATTCATGGCAGGTATGCCCCAAAGTAAACAACCATAGTAAAGTCTTTCTTAGTCTTGCCTTAGTTCACAGAAGCCACATATATCCTCTCTACCTGTTATCTTTACCCTTGTTCTATCCTTGGACAATCTTAGTTCTTCACTAGTCCACTTCACGTTCCCCATGGAAATTCGATACCTTGGAATACTCCCGGGTTAAAGCTACATTAACATCCGTGCTTTGTGGATTTATCTGTTTGCCATATCTAGTGTCAACAAGCTTTCTGGCGCTGTTGCCGGAGAACGGTAGCTGTTCTAGTTTAGGACCGAGTCATCCAATTATTTTTTGTCCTTTATCTTTCATACCATGGATCACATTCCTATCATTCAAATCGCTGCACCAAAGGGCGCTAGTTTGGAGCCACCTCCATCATCAAAACCTATCCTTGTCAATAGTTATGAAATTCGCCCTTATTTCATAACTAGAGTTCAAGAACAATCTTTTGCTGGGGAAAAACATGAAAACCCGTATGCTCATCTTCGAGAGTTCGAGCAAGTGTGTTTATGCCTTCACATTTTGGGCATGTCACATGAAACCCTTAAGTGGAAGCTATTTTTGTTCTCTTTGACGGGATTAACCAAACTATGGTATGCTCGAACTGTAGAGAGTGTACAAGGAGAGTGGAAAGTATTGCAAGTCAAGTTTTGTTTAAGCTTCTTCCCTATCCCCCGAGTGGTTCATCTTCGAAAAGAGGTCCTAAACTTCAAGCAAAGAGAGAAGAAATCTCTAGGTGCTGCATGGGCCTGCTTGATGGATCTTTTCTCATCCGGCCCTAATCTTGCTATACCCAATCCCATGCTTTTACAACACTTTTATCTAGGTCTTAGCAAAGAATCTGCACAATTCCTTGACATCTCTTCAGGAGGAGCCTTCTTATGTCTTTTTTATAGTGAGGGGAGAGCTATCCTTGATACAATCCTTGAAAACACTCCCTACACCGATGTCCATAACTACTCCCCTGATGTAAGGTACAATCCAAACCCCGTGTAAGAATAAGTTCCAATAGCCAAATCTTTGAATATCATCCCAATTCCTAAACCATTCCTAGGGACACCAAAGGAAGAAGAAATTCATCCTTTAAAGTTTCCTTTAAAATTCAAGGAGGATCTCTCTCCCGATGTTGGAAACACCTTCAACCATCCAATTCAAGAGAAATCTTTAGCATCCTTGATCCCCAATCATCATCTTCTCTATTCATCTCATGATTTGGTTGTCCAAGAGGCCCTCGAATCAATGTCATCTTCCACCTTAGACTTTGATCTCCCATATGACCCTCCTTGTTTCTTTATTGATAATTCAAACCAAAGAGGCAATTCAAACCTTTTGGTTGACGTCGAATGGGAGTTAAAATCATCGGAGGCAAGAATCTCCATACCAATGGAGGACGAGGATGAGAATCCACTCATAGAATGTGTTTGGTCTATGAACATTCTCGAGAGATCAACTTTAGAGTCCAAAAAGGAGGATCAATGTGGATGAACATCAAAGCTA